TCGTCATCTTATTTTTTAAGACAGGGTCTTCCCCTGAACCTGGCGCTTGCCCTTTTGGCTGGACTGACTGGGCAGCAGACCCCTGGGTTTCACATCTCCACCTCCCAGTCCTAGAGTTATGTATGCTGCCATGCCTGGCTTTGTAAGTGGTTGCTGGGGATCCAAACTCAGGTCTTTTGCTTACACAGTATTTCACTCACAGAGCCAGCTCTGGAATTGAAGGTCAGCCTGGGCTATCTAGCAAGTTTCAGGCCAGTGTGGGCTACAGAGTGGACAAAAAGTCCAAGAAAAAGAAAAAAAGTCTGCCTACCTAACTTTCATTTTAAGGAAAAAAAAAACAAAAAACAAAAACAGAATAATTGTCAGTCAACGATTTCACTGACAAGCTACAAATAGACATATTTCATAAAAAAGGAAACAGAAACAAGAAAGAAAGAATGGAATTCAAGTAGAAATGGCGAATAGAGGAATTTATAAATACGCTAGCAAGGCTGGAGATACTTTGGCTTGGTTGTTAAAGATTTAAAGGGAAAAGATTATGGTCCTAGTTTCAGGAAGCCCAGGTTCTATTGAATAAACTGGGTGTGGTGGTACACATCTGTAACCCAGCACTTGGGAGAGGGAGACAGGAGGATCAGAAGTTCATGGTTGTTCTTAGGGTTCCAGTCCTAACACAAACAAACAGCAACAAAACAAAACAAAGAACAGAAAGGAAAAGGGAAAAGAGTGTACCTAAACAAATCGTGCTCAGAGGGTGATGATGGTAGGCTACAGATAATGAGGGTAGGGATGGATCTTACTGGGGTTAAAGACAAGTTGAAACCATAATATTTTTGAAATATGGGGACTGGGAAAGAGTGTTGGTATGTGCTAAGCCATTTCTGTTTGCAGACTTAAAGACCTAGGGATATGTCTGGGTGTGGATGCACATACCTTTAATCCCAGCAGAGGTAGTCAGGTTTCTGTAAGTATGAGACCAGCTTGTTCTACATAGCAAGTCCTAGGCTAGCCAAGGCTACACAATGAGCCCTTGTCTCAACAACAACAAAAAATAAGAAGAAAGAAGGAAGGAAAAGAATTGTAAAAAAAAATGTACAAGAAGACTAGGATGAGGAACTTTTAACAATTGGCAGCTGGGAAATAAAGAAACAAGTAAATACACAAATTGTGGCCTTTAAGTTGGCCCAACTACTTTACAGAGCAATTTGGCAACAATTAGTAAAATTTAGAGGCACCTATTCCATGACCCAGAAATTCCCTTCTAGGTATCTGCCCTTGGGACAGAGACACACATGTGCCAAGAAGGCATATATAGAATTGCTGATTGCAGCATTTACTTTATTATGGAAAACTGCAAGCATTCCGAATGCCCACTAGAGGTTGAAGAGAACTATATGGATATGCCATGGATACCTACAATTTTAAGGTTTGTAGATGAAGGTGGATAATGTAATATTATTTAGACAGATGTCTAAACCACACAAATCATATTATGTATTTTTTGTGAATATTTATGTACAACTAACTTTCTTGCATTTTTTTTTTTTTTTTTTGAGACAGGGTTTCTTTGTGTAACAGCCCTAGCTGTCCTGGAACTCGCTCTGTAGACCAGACTGGCCTCAAACTCACAGGGATGTGCCAACCTCTGCTTCCCACATGGTGTGAGTAAAGGTGTGCACCTCCATGCCTGACTAAAGAACAACTTTCAAACCAAGGATAGTCCGGGGTGGGTTTTTCCAGGTTCTGGGCTTCCAATTCAAGTGAGGGCTGACATAGATCTGAAAAGTGCCGAGAGAACTGTTTAGAAGCAAAGCAAACAGAAAGAAATCCATGGGATCAGTGGCCTACAGAGTGAGAAACTGTTCAAGGACCCCCACTTTGACTTGAGGTTTCCCTTTATGGGGTTCAGAGAAGAAGTTTGGTTATTAAAGTGCATAATCAGAGTAGCTCTCTGTTTTGATTAATAGGTTAGATCATGTAATTATTTTCCACAAATCCCTTTCCATAATGCATCTGATTTTAATTATAGAGGCACCCAGTTATACATTAGGCATAAGATGACAAATAGGGGATTCTCCCTAAACGTTTACTCAAGGACACACTTTTACCTTTCTGTGGGCACACACTCAAAATCCAGTTCAGGTCAGATTGCCTTTCTATTCTTCCTACTCAGATGCATTGGGAATATATTAGTGTTTTATCATTGTTGTTGCTGTTGTTGTTAAGACTAGCCTTTAACAGCTAAGACATCTCTCCAACCCTGTTGGGAATACATTCGAATAAATAAATTAAAAAAAAAACTTGCTAGTTGTTAGGGATGGAGAAACTTAAACTGTTGTCCAAAGAGTGGTGTATGTGTATTCTGATGTAGGTAGGGGCCCATGGCCGCTAGGTGAATTGTTTGAAGAGGGTTGTATATACACAGTACATGCAGGTGAAGTAACTAGGCTGCCAAGCACATTACAAGAGGATGGGAGTGTACATAACTAAACCCAAACAGGATCCCAAGTTGCTACAGTATTCCCTGTGCTTACCTACCTCAGAATCAAATTTGGCAAGATATTAATCGTCCTGGAGAGGTGGCTCAGTGAATAAGAGCACTGGCTGCTCTTCCAGAAGACCTGGGTTCGATTCTCAGCCCTACATGGCATCTCACAACCAGATGTAACCCCACTCCCAGAAGTCCCATGACCTCTTCTGGGCTCCTTGGGCATGTCACACATGTGGTGCACGGATATACATGCAGGCCAAAATGCTCATACACCTTCAAATAAGTAAGTTTTAAAAATACAGGTGTAAAAAGTAAAATTGCTTCTGGGAGGAAAGTCAGTTTTCCTTAATGATGACACACACACACACACACACACACACACACATGGTAGGTTGGTTGACCACACTTCAGGGCCTTCAGGGCAGGCCCTGCTCCCACGGGGAGGAGTGGGGGAAGGTAAATAGAGTCAAAATGCATTGCATGGAATTCTCAAAGAATTAATAAAAATATAAAATCTGTTTCAAAGTAAAACTTAAAAATGGCTAGGGGTGCAGCTGGGTAGTGGGACAGTTGTCTATCATGCACAAGGTCCAAGGTTCAGTCAGGCTGGTGTGCACACATTTGTCACATTAGTCTTTGAACTTTACTTCTCTGCATGTTGCAAATACTCATCTTAAAAATGTTTTAATGGCTGCTCTGAGCATTTAGAAATAGGGTAAAGGGGGATAAATGGCTGCATCAGGCCTCAGGGAGGCTGATCCCCTGGGATGGGATTGGGGTGAGGCTGAGTCCTAATGCTCTGTGATTATTAGGATTAATCCAGATCAACCCTCTAAGCTGATCACCTGGCTGACATACCCAGAATGCCTGTCCTTTCAGAGACATACCCCTGGAGCACAATCTCCCTCCCCAGACCTGCTGAGCACTCTCCTTCTGCACCCTAACTTCATCCTCATCTGAACCCCATACTGGTCTGAATAGGGTTTGCCTGCTACTAATAGACTGGTTCAGGTCCTCCTTGAATGTCTCCCCAGATCAACAGTGAGTGATGATCTGCACCCCAGGAACCAGGGAGAGATTAGTCCCCATGCTCAAGACCCAGGCTCCCCTAAAGAGAGCTTGGACTCCTGGATGTCACAGCTGACAACTTATTTCTTTCCATTCACCCACTACCGACTGCTAGAATGACCTGCTGCCAAGACAGGACCAGAAGGAGGCGCAAAGAGCAGAACCACTGAGCTTCCAGAATCAGTCTCCTTTAGTTCCCCCAAGGCAGCCACTTTCCATAATCTCTAACAATTACGGTGCTGCCCAGGTCTGGCTGGATGACCTGCAGATTAATGTAGTTGGGAGATTCACCTGTACTCATTTTGTTCTGTGGGCCAGAATCTTTGCTGGAAGCTGAAGATACAAAGATGACTAGGGTACTTCCCAACCTTAACAGCAAGGTCAGAAGAGCACAGCAGGGATGTCTAACCAGGGGTATCTCATGAGGAAGGGATGGAGTATCTGGAGACCCTCAACCCAGGGCTGAAGTGCCTGATAAGCAGGGGATAAATGCAGGCAAAGAAGTACTTCACTCCTGGGCACACGGAGAGCTTTCGAGCCCGGCATCCTGAGAAGGTGAACATGGCCAATCCACGTCCAGACCCTAGGAAAGAGATTACAAGAGGAAGGACCGGTGTGTGTACGCAGCTTAGAAATCGCCCCCACAATTTTGATGCACAGGAGCCGGTTCCTGTGCATGAAACCTGCTGAGATGTCAGGTCTGCCTCAAGATCAACATCATCTCTTGAGTGAATAGTTGAAAAAGTGAAATAAGCCCTGTGGTTTTCCTGTGGTTAAAGGGAACATCAGCAGTGCTCATAGGCCTTAGGGGGCATGACTCAAAGGACAGGGGAGAGGACAGGTCTTGGTGCACTGAGACAGCAGGGTTGGACTAGGGAGGGCTCTTTCTAAGTCAGTCCTTGACTCTGGCTTGGTGGGAATGCGGGAAAAGCAGCGATTACTGCCTTATAGTTGGCACATCCAGGTCTCAGCTTCCCTACTCTCTCCAGCCCTGCAGTGGCACGTGAGGCCACCGGGAGGGGATGGGCTCCGTGAACTGAGGTCATTGAGACGCCCGCCCTAACGTGGAGACCAAGAAAGTGCGCGCTTGTCTGCGCATTTGCAGCAAAGAGTCCATTCTTGTTTTCTTTTCGCCCTCAGTCACCAGGCAGGACCAGGCCCTGAAACCCAGAGCTGAGAGATTCCCTACAAGCGGCTGACCCGGGATGGGTTCTGCCGCCAGAACCAACCCATCTTGTCAGTCCTTGGGAGCATCCTTAAGACCCGGCAGCTCACGTCCGCTGTGCGGGCGCAGCAGACCCAGAGCAGCCTCGGGTGAGGCTTGGGCACTTGGTTAACGAGCACTGAGCCGCCTGTGCTGGTCCCTACCCGGTCCCGAGCCGCGGGGACAGGGAGGGTTTCCGGGCGGCAGCGGGCGGGCACCCGCGTCAGGTGGCCAGGCCAGGCCCCGCCCCCTCGGCCCGCCCTCTCTCCTCCCTGCGCACCGGGCTCCGGGTCCCCGGCCCCGCGGCTGCGGCTTCTGCTCGGGAGGTGGCGGCGGCGGCGGCGGGAGCGGCCATGGAGGCAGGCGGCGGGGCCGGCGCGGGAGCCGCGGGCTGGAGCTGCCCCAGCCCAGGTCAGAGCCGCCCCTCCCTCAGCTCCCCACGCTCCTTCCCCCTCGGCTCTCCTTCCTCCTGGCCCCCCAGGTGCTCCGGGTACCGAGGTGGAGGGCGCCTCCACCCTGGCCTCCACCTGCGACAGCTCTCCATCTTTCGATCTGGGGCGTCCCCTCCCTAGCGGTCACTCCCGGAGTGCTCCCCGCCTCGTCTCTCCAGCCCGGCAGTGCTTCAAGCACTGGAGGGGCGGTGGGAAGGGGGGGACCTCGATCCTGCACCCTTCCAGTTCATAAAAGCTCTTGAGCACGGGATGAGGGTGGGGTGGGGTGGGCGAGGTCTAGTGAGGGAGGGGAGGGGAGAGGAGAGGAGAGGCCTGGGTTGGAGCCCCTTCCCTCCAGGTCCGGCTGCCCCTCCCTTTTCTGCCTTGCGCCACGGCATCTTCCCAAACCCTTCTTTCTTAGTTCCCATCCTACCCCTCTTCTCCTTGTGCCCCAAGCTAAACACTCACCCTCTTTCTGTCTGGGCGAGGGAGAGGAGCCGGCAACATCTCAGAACAGGGGTGTTGAGGTTTGGCAGCGCCGGGCTGGGGTCCTCAGGTGGAGCGTGAGAGGTGGCGAAGGGAGTAGTTACAGAGCTGGACAGAGTGAGTCAGGCTCTTCCGATGGGATTACAAATTTAGGGCTCCCAGACGAGAACCCGCGTCCCTTTGGCTTCCCTCAGCCCCTCAGCCTCTTTCGAATCCTACAGTGACTACTTTCTCCTGCTCACAGGACCCACAGTAACCACTTTAGGCTCTTATGAGGTATCTGAGGGTTGTGAAAGGAAGAAAGGCCAACGCTGGGGGTCCCTGGAACGCCGTGGGATGCAAGCTATGGAGGGTGAGTTTTGTAGGGGTAAAAAAAAAAAAAGGCTTTCCATCTTCCATCACCCTGTTCCCCAATTCCCTTCCTTCCCTGACCCCAGAGCTCTGAGCCAGGACAAGGCCCTTCCCTGACTTCATCTCAGGCCCCTCCTCCCTGGTGGCAGAGGTCCAAGCCTCCCTGGGCTCAGGCATTGATGGAAGTTTGGGCATATCCCTTTGGGTTCCAGTCACCCAGCTAACCAGGTTGTGTGTCCTGGGGGAGCTGCCAGACAGAGAGAGAAGCCCTGCTGAAGAGAGCCCAGCAGCGGGGTGCTTGTTCTCACTGCCCGCTGACCTGGATCCCAAGCTGTCTCTTATTTTTAAGAGCCAGGACTTGGGAGGGCGTGTGAACTGTCGTTCTGGGACCACCACTCTCAACTTTGAACGGGGCCTTGCAGCTTTAGTAATAGAAAGGCTCGGGAGAGAGCTAGGTGAAGCCAACTTCCCAACCCCACACCCACGCATCAGAGCAGGGAGGATCAGCACATTACCCAGGACTTCCTAGGAAGTGACCCCAGGCCCTTTTACAGTTCAGTACAGGCCTCGCCTAGACACTCACTCCATGGCATAAGGGGTTTCAGATGACCCATATGCTGTTGGTTTTAGAAAAGGAAGACCAGAGAGATTCCGAATTTAAAAACAAAGCAGTCTCCACCAAGACAAGATTGCTATTTACAGGAACTGCACTGCACTAAAAAAGAGTGCTCACCATCCCAAAATGGGACCAGTACCAAGTGGAGATTTTGTTTTGATTTGGGTTTTTTGTTTGTTTTCCAAGACAGAGTTTCTGTGTGTAGCCCAGGTTGTCCTGGGACTGGTCCTGTAGACCAGGCTGACCTTGAACTCACAAAGATCTGCTTGCTTCTGCCTCCCAAGTATTAGGACCACACCTGGCTCCAATTCAGTGTTTGGTTTGTTTTTTTTAAATAATTTTATTTTTACTTTATGTATTGGTGTTTTGCTTGCATACATGTTTGTGTGAGGGTGTCAGGTCCCCTAGAACTGGAGTTACAGACAGTTGTGAGCTGCCTTGTGGGTGCTGGGAATTGAACCCAGGTCCACTGGACAGTAGTCAGTGCTCTTAACCACTGAGCCATCTCTCCAGCCCTTCCAATTCAGTTTTTAAAATATGTTAACAGTATTGGAGAGATGGCTTAGCAGTCATCCAGGGTTTGATTCCCAGCACCCACATGGCAGATCACAACCATCCTATAACTCCAGTTCCAGGGGATTTAGTGCCCTCTACTGATCCCCAAGGTACTGCATACACCCGATAGACACACAAGCAGGGACAACACCCATATGCATAAAATAAATAAATTTTTAAACATGTGTTCAGATGGCAGGTTTTCTCTTATACATGAGTTCAGCTTCAGACTTACCCTGAAAACCAACTCAGGTCAGCAGGAAAGAGGTAGACCTCATGGCACCCAACAGAAAAATAACAAGTGTAGCAAATTTCAAAAAGGTATCTGGTAACATACATTTGAAAGGGTTCCCACATTTGTCCAGTAAACAGCTCAGAGCCATTTCCTTGAATGTTTTCATTCTCTACCTACAAGCCAAGACAGTGCTTTTCTATTATGAAAAGGCCAATATTTTGCAAGCCACCTGGATGTGGGTTTTGTTGTTATTGTTCCAACCTTGCCGGATTTGGCCTAAATACGCAGCTGCGTCTGAACGTCTGAATCCTTTCTTAACTCCCTGTCCCACTACCCAGTGATCATATTAGAAGTGCCAGGGGTCCCCATGCTAGCTTCTTGTAGATGAGCCAGCATGGAGCTGTAAAGGCAGTGGACATTCAATATTAGGAGCTTGGAAGGGGGAAAAGGTACTTCCAAATTTGACCCACCAGAGCCTGGCCATCAGAGACTCGTCATGAGTTAGGTCCTGCCCAGGGGAACTTGGGAGGACACCAGGTGGCACTGTTCTGCTATCTAGTACCTGGGGACGTAAGGTGCAGGACTCTGGAAGGACTCTTGAGGGAAATGGGCCTGACTGTCCATGGGGATGGTTGTCTCTCCTAGGAGAGGTGTTACTTCCAGCTCTGTATGAGGAGGAAGAGGAGGAGGAAGAAGAGGAAGAGGTCGAAGAAGATCCAGTGCAGAAAGCAGGCAGTTTGGGTTCCCTGTCCATGAGCAAGCACCGTGGCCTGAGCCTCACAGAGACAGAGCTGGAGGAGCTGAGAGCTCAGGTACTCCAGCTGGTGGCAGAGCTGGAGGAGACCCGGGAGCTTGCTGGGCAGCATGAGGATGACTCCCTGGAGCTTCAGGGTGAGTACCTGTGACAGGGCAAGGAGCCTGGGCCCAAAGGCTCTTTGTTTCCCTGCTTCCAAACCAGATGTCCCTCTCACTTCAGGGCTCCTGGAGGATGAGCGGCTGGCCAGTGCTCAGCAGGCAGAAGTATTCACCAAGCAGATTCAGCAGCTCCAAGGTAACTGCCCCCAAGTCTAGACAGATGCTTGACCTCTCTCCTCTCTGTTCTTTCTTTTCTTGCCACTTCCTCTTCTCCTTGCCCTCCCCCTTCTCTTGTTGCCTTGATTCCTATCTTAGCTTTCTTCATGGCAGTCCTGGCCTCTCTCTTGTCCCCTTTCTCTCTTCCCAACCTCCTCTCCCTCCTCACGTCCCTGCTCTCTTGGTTCTCCTAGCCCAGGGCCACGGGTGGACGGTCAAGATTGAGTTCTAGGCTGTATTCCTTTTTCTGCTTCCTCCAAGGGGGCCATAGGAGAGAGCAGGGGCCAGCAGGAGGAAACTCCATGTGACTTTGAAGGAAACATGGACATGGACGAACATGAGTTTGTGCCCCCCATCCTCTCGTCCAGAGCCCGCGTCCCTTTGTCTCAGAAAGCAGTAAGGCAGGTGTCCCACATTCCACTGCACTACCAAATAAAGAGGGAGCTTTTGTTACTTCTGTGGGCTTCCGGAAGGTTTTGAGGATCTGCCCTAGAAAACAGCAGGGACTCTGTAGCAAGAGCTGAGATCAAGCCAAAGGGAAAGTATAAATGGAGGGAAAAAAGGTCTGTCCTGGTGAGAGCAAGCGAAGGTATTAGCGGAGGAACATAAGAGAAGGGAACAAGATATAAGCAAAGGGAGATGCAGGGAAAGTGTCAAAGAAAAGAAAAATGGCGGACAGCCAGCGCAGGGAGAGAGGGAGCCTGGGTGTTGTTTTCGTAATAGCTGAGCTCTTGGGCTTAGCTTTATTGTGTCCAGATTTTGTTAAACTTGGGCAGGTCACTTTTATCCCTGTGAGCCTCAGTTTCTTGTCTGTAAAATGGGGTTAACTCACTTGTCTGTCAACTATTGGTTGAGAGCCATTATATATTTAAAGGGCCACAATTGACCAAATCCCTAAACAGTAGATCCCAAAGCTGGGCAGGGTGGCATAGGTCTGTAAACTCAGTATGTGGGAAATAGAGGCAGGAGAATCAGGAATTTGATGCCATCCATGGCTTCATAGTGAGTTCAAGGCTATCTGGGCTTCATGAGATCCTGTCTCATTTTTTTTTTTTTTTTAAAAAGTAGATTCTAAAGGAAAACATAAACAAGTTCGGTTGGCAATAAAGGCTATGCATGTATGAACTCAGTATAGACCTGTGATATGTGGATGGGGTGACATAGGAGTCAGTTTTACATAGATGACTTTGACAAGCCTTCAAGAAGATGACACTTAAGCTGAATAATGGGAAGGATCCAGACAGTCAAAGGTCTGATGGCAGGACCTCCTGGGCAGAAGGAACTGAATCTGCAAAGGTCATGTGCTGGGGGACAGAACTAAGGTCATTGTGAAGTGTCCTTGAAGGACTCTGGTCCGAGAAAGCTCCAAGAGAAGGCAGAGGTCTGGTTACAAGAGGCCCTCTAGGTCAGCTGACAGGGATGGCTTTCATTGTAAGTGAAGTAGACACTACAGGAGGTATGTTTCAATGCTGCAGTGATTGGCATGGATTACATTTTTAGTTTAGCTTTGCCTTTTTCCTCCAGTGTCAAGGGTCCTACCACCTAGCAACAACCCTAACCCTCCAATAGAGTCCTTTAGAATCCAGGAGGAGGGGAGGGAGTCAAGTATGCTAGTGGCCCATTTAACCAATTATTTTTACTGAATTAAGGAGAAATGGAGATGGTTCAGAATATATTTTGAAGGTGGACCCAGAGAAAATGGGTAAATGGTGATATCCAATAGGCATGGAAAAGGTTGGCAAGAAATGAGTTTGGGATTGGGGAAACCATTTAAGAGTTTTTTACTGGATGAGTTTGATGTCCAATGAGTGTGTAAAGAAAGCATTTGGATGTGTGAATCTAAAACTGGGGGAGAAACAAAGCCTGGAAATAAGATTCAGTAATTTTTTTTCAAACCTCAACTATATATATTATATATATATATGTGTGTGTGTGTATGTATGTATATACATATATGTATATATGTGTGTATATATTATATATATATCTCATATATATGTATATATACAAATACATATATACATACATACATATATACATACATACACACACACACACACACACATATATATATATATATATATATATATATATATATATATATATACTCCTAACTGCATGTACACCTTTATGCCAGAAGAGGGCATCAGATCCCACTATAGATGGTGGTGAGCCACCCTGTGGTTGCTGGGAATTGAACTCAAGACCTCTAGAAGACCAGTCGGTGCTCTTAACTGCTGAGCAGCCATCTGTCCAGCCCCTGATTCGGTAATTTTTAACGTGCAGACAGCGTTATAGTCTATGGGAGATGGGCTTTCAGTTATATCAAGAAATACCAGAGGGAAGAGAAAGGCTCCATTCTCCTAACTAGAGGCCCAAAACAGGAGGAGGACCGTACAAAAGAAATGGCGATAGAAGGAACCACTAAGTCCATTCTGCCCTGAAAACCAAGAGCAGAAAATGCTTCATGGAAGTGATGCTCCACTGCGTGGAAAGCTGCGAAGGCAGGTGCAGTGGCCTCTGGAGTTGGCAAGATGGAGACCAGGCAGATAGTACGGATTGGATTGGAACTGGAGAGGAAACAGGAGGTCAGATGAAGAACTGAGTACAGATCATGGCGATCACCATTTTGGAGAGAAGGGGTAGAGTAGCGAGGTCAAGGGAGAAGGTTTGATTTTTTTTTTTTTTTTTTTTTAAGGTAAGGAACCCTTGATCTTCTTTATGCGATGAAAGAAAGGTCCAGCTGGGCCAAGTGTTAGTCTGTGCTTCAAAAAGAACATTCTTTTCTCCCCAGTATGGCGGAAGTCTGAAAAGCTGCAAGGCCAGGCTAGAAGAGGAGTTGTTGCTAGATTTCAATGATTCCCGGGTGAGGGGCTGCGGACCCCAGCCCCGCCCCGAGCCCCGCCCCGAGCCCCGCCCCCGGGTGGAGCCTGAGGTGGGCCCTTGCGCACGCGCGTTGCCCGTTTCCGCCCAGTGGGGGCGCTCGCGGCCTCAGAGGTACCTGGTGTTCAGAGGCGGTTCCGGCCGCCACAGCCCCCCCTGGGGCGGCACCGGCGGGGAGGCGGGAGGCCCCCTCGGAGACCGCTTGTGGGGGGCCGGCGAGATGCAGGCCATAAGCAGTAAGTGCCAGCCGCCTTCCCTGCCCCGCGAGCTGGCGCCCGCACCCTCCTCCGCGCCCCGACGGCCCCAGCCCTCAGTCAACCGGCGCCGGCGCTTTGGAACCTGGTCCCGCCTTCTCAACTCCTGTCTGCGCCGCCCGCCCCTGCCCCGGCTCCCGGGATCCGAGGAGGCAGTTTACAGAGCCAGATTCCAAAGAGCCGCCCGGTGAGGGTTGAGGGCTAGCTAGGGAGACGAGGCTAGCCTGCCCTCCGGAATGGCCAGCTGGGTGTCCCTTCGTCGCAGCGGCCGGCTGACCCCTAGGCGTCCCCCCTCCAACAGACTGAGCTGTGCCGTGGGTGGGCTGCTGTAGAAGCCTCCCCCATCACTTGGCTGTGAACTTCATGAAAGCAGGGAACAGGCCGGTTTTGTTTCCTTCCTGGCTTGGGGATGTAGTTCATTCAGTGCCCTAGCATCCTGCACACCTGAGGTGCTGGGTTCAGCCCCTAGTAGAGAAAGTTAAAACAAAACCCAGGAAGTCTTGCAACCTAGTGCACATGCTTGATGGAGGCCTGGGACCTCTGCTCCCCGGGGTGCCCTGTCCACTTAACAGTGATACCTCCCATATATCCTAACAGGTCCTTTCTCCCTTCTCCCCGCCCCCAACCCGCTCCCGGGCGGCTTGACAGAGGCCGGCTTCACACTCCTAGGCTCAAGCAATTAATTCTCAGCCTCTAGAGTGCTGCTGGGACTACAGGCGTGTACAACTATGCCCTTAAATCCTAGGTTCTCTTAAGTGTGTACTTCTGCGTACACAGAAGAAACTCAGTTTAAAAAAAAAAAAATTGAACAGAGGAGCCCCTCAGTAAATATTTATTGAGCTGCATTCTGCCAAGCCGGTTACCAGATATGGGAACTGTGATGGTGAACAAAACAGTCATGTTTTCATAGTTTATACCTGAGTGAGGCTGGAACTGAACACCAGCACACATGCTGCAAGTAAGAGCTTTGAGGATCCCTCTGATGGAGGAGGTGGAGGAGATGCTAGGAAAAGATGAAATCTGGATGTTTGGCAGAGTGAGCAGGGCATAGGACAAGGGGGCATATGAAGTCCAATTCTCTTTGACCCCCTAGTCCTGCTCACCCCCCACCCCCCGTTCTGGATTCTTACTGGAATCCATGGCTTTAATTCTCTGCTTTTGAGAGTTTCACTCATTCCAAATGGGTGACCTGCATCTAGAAATCAGAGAGGGGAGACTAGACATGGTGGTGACTCATGTCTGTAATCCCATCACTTGGGAGGCTGAGGCCAAGGGAGTTTGAGATCAGCCTGTGCTCCAGAATGAGGCACTGTCTTAAAAACAACAAAAGGAACCTCAGATGCTCCACAGAGTTTGACACCTTGGTTTTGCAAATGAAAATATATGCATAACTGTATGTAAAAATGTAGAAACTTGTAAAAATCAAGCAACACAGGTATGATATGGAGGTTAAAATACCTGTCACATGTTATCTTACTCCTCTGAGGCAATTGCTATTTTTTAAATGTATTTTCTGTGTGTGTGTGTGTGTGTGTGTGTGTGTGTGTGTGAGAGAGAGAGAGAGAGAGAGAGAGAATGTGCATATGAGTGTGGAGAAGGGGCCTCCATGTCTCGTGTCTTCCTCAGTCATTGTCCACCTTATTTTTTGAGACAGGGGTCTCTCACTGAGGCAAGAGCTCGCTGATTCAGCTAAACAGGCTAATCAATCAGCTCTAGTGATCCTTCTCTGCCTCCTACCCCCGCCCCAGTCCCAAGGGCTAGGATAGTTGACTCATGTCAGCTAGGCCTGGGTTTTTATGTGGATGCTGAAGGCCTGAACCCAGACCCTTGTGTTTGCATGGCAAGCATTTTACCAACTAAGCCATTTCCCCAGCCTGGAAGCAACTGCTCTATGGTTTGGGGCCATAGATCTTTCCATGTGTCTTTAAATGTTTGTTATATAGTGCCTGGTTTGGTTTCTTTCTAGTCACTATAGCATGGGAACACTTTCCTATTTTTAGTTAGTAAAAAGGTTTGTTTTGACTTACTGTTTTTGGTGGTCTAAAGGGAAACTGATTGTCTTCTGCTAAGGCCCTCTTGGAGAATATCACCATTGACTCAAACATTTGGCATTATCAATCAGTCACCATGTAGGTTAGTATTCCATGTGTTAATGTTTTAATGATGAGCTTCTTTTTTAAGTTGACCTTGAATTCTAGATATGTGCTGTCTTTCATTCTGTGCTTTACAAGGCATTTGGGGAAAGGGGCAGCCTCTGAGACTGTGAGTCTGAATTTCCTAAGCTCCCAGGATGGGATTTTTAGAAAGACTTAGGACACTGGTAAAATACTACATAGCTCATGCTGGACCCAGATTCACAATGTTGCTGAAAATGACCTTGAATCTCTCAAGTTTCGGAATGACAGTGTGAGTCACCACACCTAGGGGTCTTGGTTTTTTAACTGGCAAGTGGTTCTTCAGGCATATTTAATACTATTCTGTTTGTCTATATTTTTTAGTTCTTTTAGACTAGCACACAAAGTAATGAGTTTTCTTATGACATTCCCATGCATGTGTCACTGTACTGTGTTCTCATAGAACGTAAGCCCTCAAAGTCTGCCTTTCTACCACATTTACTACCAGAGTCACTGTCTAATCCCTTCTTGAGTACTCTTCCATTCTACACCTTATGATGCTCTGCTTCTCTTGTGGGGTCAAAACTGGGTTGGCAGTAATTTCCAGACAAGAATTAAGTCTGTCTTGGGCTCTGTGCTTCCAGAGCATGTTTTTAACTCATTCGCTTTTCGCCCTGACTGTGAACCTTTGGGCTTTGCAGGTGAGCTTCAACATCTACGGGAGGAGATTTCCCTGTTAGAGCGTGAGAAAGAAACTGAACTCAAAGAAATAGAGCAGGAGCTACATCTGGCCCAGGCGGAGATCCAGAATCTACGGCAAGCCGCAGCAGACTCTGCAACTGAACATGAGAGCGACATAGCGTCCTTGCAGGATGATCTCTGCCGGCTGCAGAATGAACTCGATGACATGGAACGCATTCGAGGGGACTATGAGATGGAGATTGCCTCGCTCCGTGCAGAAATGGAATTGAAGACTTCTGAACCATCTGATTTGAGTATCTCAGACTTCTCTGGGATACAAGGTATGAGACTTTCTGATTCATTCACAGAGTTGAATAGAGGAGAAGACATCATAGGTAGGAAGATGGAGGAAGAACAGTACTACCTTATACATTAGAAACATCTAGAAAAAAATATCCCCCATGTTTACTTTGAGACTGGAAAGACTCACTCAGCTGTTACATAACCATGGTGGTATAAGAATTAGTGCCATAGAGATGTTCCCTGGAGACTTTTTGTTTTTGTTTTTCGAGACAGAATTTCCCAGTTCCATTGGAGCCTGCTCTGGAACTTGCTCTATAGATCAGGCTAGCCTCCCTGGAGATTAACACAGAACTGTTGGGTACTCGTTGATTTGACTCTGGGAAAGTACTCCCTGGGGGGGAAAAGTCTGGGGTAGATACAGAAGGACCTGTCACCTTAAAAAATTTTTCCTGCTGCTATGGCATCATGGCTCTTTGCCTGACCCTGTTTAGGCCTCTAGTCCTGAGTCTGAGAACCAGAATGCTAATTCTTAGGTTCATTTAGCCCTCCCCAGAGTAGACACTTTGGGAGGCAGCAGATCAGAGCACAAGACAGCTGGAGAGAAAGAGAGGTTATTTCTAGTAAGCATGCGGTACTTAAAAGCTTCGAGCCCTGTTTTCAGGCATCTCCCAGCTAGTTGCTAGGATTCGTGACATCAGTGGGTTAGCCTTTATTTTAGCCTGGATTTATGATCTGGGTATAATGGAGGCCCTACATTTGGCCAGGTCAAGCAGAGACAGTCACAAGGAAATGAAAGCATTGCAAGTTTCTCCAGCTGTATTAAGCTTTTCAGAAGTGCCTTTGTACGGGTGATGCTAGGAGAGGGAGGCAGCCCAAGGGAAAGGAGGCAGCTAGATTGGACCTAACCTGAGTCAGGAGCTCAGCTCCAGCTGGGGTAGCAGGATCAACTTAGTCAACTTATTACCTCTCTCCAAGCTTCATCTATACCTGGAATATGGACCTCAGCTTGGTTAATAAAGTCTTAGAGCAGGATGAAATACTAGGACAGAAAAGGGGCTTAATGAAAACACAGAGAAATCTAAATGACATGTGGAGTTAATCCTAATGTATGGTCGTTGGTTCTTAATCATGACAAGTAGGCAATGTAAGGTAAGATGCTTAATAGCTGAGGAACCTGGGTGAGAATTCTCCCAAGGAAATTTGAACTGGCTTTGTGTGTGCATTATCTTTTTTTAAGTCTAAACCTATTCTAAAATCAGTTGGTTTTTTGTTTTTGTTTTTGTTTTTAGTTTGTTTTTAAGTAAGGGATGGGGGGAGGTCTTACACAGGGCTATTCCAAGGATTAAATGAAGGTCGAAATCATCAAGTCCAGTGCTTCATGCACAGTTCTTATTAAAGGTTTCCTTCCTTCCCATGGTCATCTTCAGAAATTGTCTTTAATTAATTAATTAATTAATTTAATATTTATCCATTTACGTAATTGAAATTTATTTATTTGTTTATTAATACAGAGTCTCTCTACATAGCCCTTGCTGTTGTGGAACTTGTTATGTAGACCAGGCTGGCCTCAAACACACAGAGATCTCTCTGCTTCTGCCTCCCAAATTCTGGGTTTTAAGGGATGTGCCACCATGCCTGGACTGGAATAAAGAAGAAACATTAGAAGTGTTGTTCAGGGATGTTGAATCTTCTGACAAATAAAATATTGTAATTAAGGCCAGTTGGTGTACCTTAAATGTGGTGGAATTAGTGCCCTACACACTGTGATTCTTTTCTGTGTATTAGAGTGTGTGGTGTATGTGTGTTGGGGAAGCACTCACCTCTGCATGCACTGTAGAAGCCAGCGGCTGGTGTTGTGTGTCTGCCTCTCAGTGTCCACCTTATGTTTTTGAGACAGGATTTGTCACTGAACTGAAGTTTACCACCGTGACTAGACTGGCTCATTAGTGAGCCCCACAGTATCCCACTGGTCTCCACACCCTCAGTTCTGGGTTTATATAGGTACAAGCTGCCATTCCTGGCTTTTTAAGGGGATACTGGGAATCAGAACTCATGTTTATATAAGCAAGCACTTTACCCACTCAGCCATCTCCCCAGCCCAAGTAATATTATTCTTTTCTTTGTTTATTTACTTTTATTTGTATGCGTATGTGTCTGTGTCTTTCACATGTTTGGGTGACTGACAGCTGAGTCCAAAAGAGAGTATTGGAGTTCTGGAGCTGGTGTTATAGGTGGTTATGAGTCAGGCAACATGGGTGCTGGAAACTGAATTCTCTTTTAGAGGTTGAACCTCCTCGATAGCTCTGATAGTTCTTACTCATAAAGAGATACAACTTGGGTATTTGTAGCAACTGGGGAATTTCAACAGGACCTCTTCTGTCTTCTAATCTTGAGGAAAACAAGCATTTTAGATTGGAATGGACTTTTCTGTTAGCAGATGAAGAATCCTGAGTGTGGCTTGGTGGTAGTGTGCTTGCTGGCACCCATGGTGAGACCCTAGATTTTATTCCAAGCACCCTTTGTGTTAGTTAGTGCTTCTGTTGCTGTGACAAAACACCATGGCTGTAAAGGGTTCATTCAACTCACATTTCCACATTGCTGTTCACCACTGAAGTAGGGCAGGGCAGGAACTCCACAACAAGGCAGGAACCTGGAGGCAGGAGCTGATTCAGAGGCTGTGGAGGAGTGCTGCTTACTGGTGTACTTCACATAGCTTGTTCAGTCTGCTTTCTTATAGAATCCATGTCCATCAGCCCAGGGATGGCACCACCCACAATGGGCTGGGCCTCCCCTCCCCCCCCCCATTGATCAGCCTTACAGCTGATGCTCATAGAGGCATTTTCTCAACTGAGGCTCCTTCCTCTCTGATGACTCTAGCTTGTGTCAAGTTGACACACAAAACCAGCTAGTACACCGTTCCTCTCCACCAGAAAAGCAAAAACAAACCCACAAACAAAAACAGAACCCAACAACAAGGAGTATTTGAACTTTGTCCAGGCCAGTGTCTTCAGTGTGATGCTAAAGGAAATAAAGGATACTCGGAATGAGTGGACTGTTTTTGAAAGGCAATTCTGGCAATTCACATCTCTCAAGAGTTTGTGTTAAAAGCATCATGGAGGCTGTAGCTATACCTCGGTTGCTAAAGTGCTTGCCTAGCATGCATGACGCTCTGTGTCTGATCCAGGGTACCTCATTAAAAAAAAAAAAAAAAAAAAGCAGGCTTGGTGGCTCATACCTGTAATCCCAGCACTCAGGAGGTAGAGACAGGAAGATCTGAAGTTAAGGTTAGCTAGAGACCAGCCTATGCTACCTGAGGCTCTGTCTAAAAGGGGGGAAAAAGGATAATGGGGAGGTAATCATAAATAGTTAACTAGAAACTTAGATACAATGAATTTAACTTAAGCCTTCAAAAGCTGCTGAAAGTTCAAGATGGTGTTCCAGTTGGGGCTTTAAGGGTGAATGTTTTCTGTGCTTAGGGACTATGTAGCCCTTTGCCATTGAGTTTCCATCCAGGAAAGCTTGGGGCTGGTCATCAGGGCTTCTATGCACTGAGGCTCGGCTGTTCTCTCTCTCTCTCTCTCTCTCTCTCTCTCTCTCTCTCTCTCTCTCTCTCTCTCTGTGCCTCTCTTTGCAGACGAGCTACACCAGCTTCGGGAGCGCTACCACTTCCTGAACGAGGAGTACCAGGCCTTGCAGGAGAGCAACAGCAGCCTCACAGGGCAACTTGCTGAGCTGGAGAGCGACAGGTACAGCCACACTGCACATTCTCTCTTGGGCTCTCTTGGGTCTTCCCAGAAGGCAGAGGCTGGGGTCTTGAATGGTCCTCTACCCCTGGAAAGCAGTCATTTCTTTGTTATCCCAAGGGTATAGAGACCTCCCAGGAGCAGGCTCAGAATGCCACTAAACTGTATTATCAGAACTATAGTTAAATGAGCTACAAAAATGTAGTTGTCCTCTATTCTTGGCATTGGAATCCAGCTGGTTCTGCTTTATGTTAGATCAGCCAAGATCCCTTTGTTGTCCCTAGATATGATTCAGTCTAATGGCATAGAGCAGTGGCTCTCACCCTTCCTAATGCTGCAGTCCTTTAACACAGTTCCTCATGTTGTGGTGGCCCCCAACCGCAAAATTATTTTGTTGCTACTTCATAACTATAATTTTGCTACTGTTATGAATTGTAATGTGAATATCTGGTATGTGACCCCCAGAGGGGTCATGACCTGCAGGTTGAAAACCACTGGGATAGAGCCTCCGGGTTAGAGGTGGTTTGGCATCAGGCCCACTCTTGAAATCAAGATCCTAGGATTTCCCAAAGTCAAAATGGCCACACAGTGGGGTGCTGGAGGTTTTGTGTAGTCTTCTAAACACATTTGTTTGAGAGGTGAAGACAGTACAAGGCTCTTTAGTAATGTCAGCACTGGGCCTGAGCCAGGCAGAGCTGCTCCCTACTTAGCCCTGGGTTCTGGATTACAGGACACGAAGAGCAACAGAACAATGGTTGGAATCCCAGATGCTGAGGAGCATGATGTCAGTAGAGTCTCAGACTTCAGAGCTGGATTTCCCAGAGCCTGATCCTGAGATGCAGCTTTTGCGACAGCAGCTGCTAGGAGCTGAGGAACAGATGCAGGGCATGCAGACCAAGGTAGGCTGGAGGGTGGAGTGGAGGCTCTTGCTGCCACCTCCTGTCTTTTCCTGGCCCGTAGTAGGAATAGCACTAACAAGAGAGCCATGCACTATGGCAGGGTATGGTATCTTGGGCCTTGGCTGACTGATAGGAATAGAGTCATGTATCATGTGATGGCATTTCAGTCAAAAACTGGACCAGATATATTGTAGTGCTGAAAAGTTCTTAGCCCTACTCATGTTTTAGTGTAGCAAGTTACTGAGCAGGCGTGTGGTGATGCTACTGCAAATGAGCCTACTGTGTGTGAAACTTCCAGTTGTGTGAAAGTCTAACACATACAGTTATACAACTTGATGAGAAATGACTACTAATATTTTATGTTTTGACCATATTATGTTTTTATTATTATATTTTTTAAAAAGCCTTTCTCTTTAAAAACAAAAAGCAGGAAAAAAAAAAAAAAAAAGTTCATTATAGAACAGGATGCCAGCCAGGATGTGGTGACACACGCCTCTAATCCCAGTACTTGGGAGGTAGAGGCAGGTGGATCTCTGTATGCTTAAGGCCAGCCTGGTCTACAGAGTGAGTTTCAGGATAGCCAGAGCTACACAGGGAAACCTTGTCTCAGAAAACAAGAACAAAAACAACAAAACATTGAGGATGCTCTGTTATACTGACAGCATCTTCAATATCTTGTATTTGTTGTGTCTGTTAATGACATCATTTTCTTTTGTGCTTAATTCAATCTCAGGGTGTTCATTGGTACCCCAAGAACAGTAAAGCATGGTCAATGCACACACACACACACACACACACGCACGCACGCATGCACTCACGCACGCCATACTGTTTGTGTCAATATACTCTGTAATGGTCACACAATTATTCAGTAGCTTAATGACAAATTTCTCAGCATGAGTCTACATTGTTTCGTGATATTTGACTATATCCAAATCAAAAGAATGACATACTTCCCCTGTCCCTAATGTACATGTGTCATCTACCACAAATCAGCCCCATTCCATTCCCCACATAGTGTAAGGACTTGTGTTGTGAGTTGGAAGAGCTCCGGCATCATCGCCGGGTCAGTGAGGAGGAGCAGAAGCGGTTGCAGAGGGAGCTCAAGTGTGCCCAGAATGAGGTGCTTCGGTCTCAGACATCCCACAGCGCCGCCCAGGTAAGCACTGCCAGGGGAAGGAAGGGCAGCAAGGCAGGAGTCCCTGCCTCCAGGGAGGCTGGACGTCAGGAGTGAGGCTGAACTCTGCTGACAGCATCACCCAAAGCCCCTGCATACAGAAGCCACATAGATGGCCTGTAGAAAGGTGGTGGTTGTTGAGTGTCATCACTGAAGAAACCTAGCCGTAGATCCAGAGAGCGTGTCGAGGGCTCTGCACCAGGAAAGTGTCCCCGTGGCCTGCATAGAGTCCTTCTGCTTCTTGAGAGTAACTGCTCTACCCACATCCTCCCTACTGCAGAATGAGGAGCTGAAGAGCAGGCTGTGTGCCCTGCAGCAAAAGTATGATGCTAGCCAGGATGAACAGAATGAGCTTCTGAAGGCGCAGTTGCAGCTTCAGACTGAGCTCCGGCAGCTTAAAGTCATCAAATCCACACCCGTAGAGAGCCAAAATGAGAAGGTAACAGTGCCAAAGGTGAAGGACAGTGGAGGGCCAAGAGCGCTGGACTGAGGCTTTTGGGGAAGGTAGATAAAATAACTCCAAAGCTGAGGATATGGCTTTTGGTAGACTGCCTGCCTAGAATGCATGAGGTCCCAGGTTCAATCCCTAGCATTGAAACAGAACAAACACAGACAACATTTGTTGAGCCTAGTGTGGTGGAGCACATCTGTAATGACAGAACCGAGGAGGTAGAAGCAGACGAATCGGGAGTTCAAGGCTAGCTCCAGGTACACAGCCTGGCTTACATGAGATTGGTTACATTTATTTATAAACAAAAAGGTAGCTGCCTCCCTCAAGGGCAGCATAGGCGGGAGGGTGAGTGGCAAGGGAAAGGAGGAGAGAGATCCTCAAGTGGTCGGTGGCTGAGTTAGGACAAGAGCAAAGCCACAAAAGCCAGCACCACTACCCAAAGCCCCTGCATGCAGGAGTTAAAGTGCCGGCTCCAGAAGCTGCAGATGCAGCACCAGAGCAGTGTGAATGAGAAGGAAAAGCTGCTGGAAATGCAGCAACACCTGCAGGACAAGCTGCGGTGCCACGAGACAGAGCTGCAGCATCTCCGAGGCATGGTGGACTGCTTGCAAGAGAAAAATAATAAGGTAAAAGGGTGAGCAGGCCAGGAGTACATAGCCAGGCAGCGTCTCCTGTAAGGGTGAGCAGGCCAGGAGTACATAGTCAGGCAGCGTCTCCTGTAAGGGTGAGCAGGCCAGGAGTACATAGTCAGGCAGCGTCTCCTGTAAGGGTGAGCCAGAGTGCGCCCAGTAGGACTTGTGTGGAGGGATTGTTGGTGAAGTAGACCAGACATATCCCCAGCTTCCTTTTATTTTCAAGCGGAAGATTAGTCTGCAGAAAGAAATCTTTCCTCGGGCAGTCTCCCGAGGTCAGGGTGTCAAGCCTGTTAGGGAGAGGTCTGTCTGGTTCTCCCTGGCCGGCTGAAGTCAGGCTTGGGAAGGTCAGGGGAGGGCAGATCCAGAGCGAGGGGGTAGGTGTGCTTGGGATGATGGCTCCGCCTCCCCTACCCAGAATATAGGGATACAAGCCCAGCTTCAGGAGATGAAGGGACTGTATCAGTCCAGCAAGGACGAGCTGGAGCGACAGAAGCACATGTATGACCAGCTGGAGCAGGACCTCCTGCTCTGCCAGCAGGAGCTGACAGAGCTCAAGAGCAGCCAGACTGTTTGTGAAGACAATGATGAAAAGGGCTCCAACAAGGTAATTGTAGTTCTGAACGCTTCTGGCACCAGCTCGGGAGAAAGGAGCTCCAAAGGCAAGGGATGAGGTTACCCAGCTAAAGACAGGAGACAAAGGCAGACCCACGTCTACTGTCCTTAAAACAGTTTGTCTTGAACTTGAATGAGAGCCTTAGCCTAGCAGATTGATGCATTTGACCTCAGTCAGTGTGAACATCTGTTTCTCATACGATCCCATGTATGTAGGCGTTTCTCCATTGGTGTTGTAACTGTATTGATGTCCCATCGTTTCCAGGGAGGGACATACACATAGACCCATATATGCTTAACTAAACTGAAAAGACTAGGGACAGACCCTGAAGCAGGATGCAAGTGATCTTCGGGCATGGTCCACACCCAGAATGCTAACTGGATAACCAGTGCTCTTTTAGGATGTAGTCAGACTCGGAGTAAACTCTTAAATCTTGAATTTTTCTTGCTTCAGATTAAACCAAATGCTACTTATTTATTTATGCTGGTGGAGAGAAGGGTTGAGACAGTCTCACTGTATAGACCAGGTTACTCTTGAATAGTGGCTATCCTCTTGCTTCTACCTCAGTTGCTCAGATTACAGATGTAATACCTGGCTTGATACAGAACAATATTTTGTCTCACTTCCTTTAAGAAATAAATTCTGGCCAGGCAGTGGTGGTGCATGCCTTTAATCCCAGCACTCAGGAGGCAGAGGGTGTCTGTGAATTAGAGTCTAGCCTGGTCTACAGAGTGAGTTCCAGGACATCCAGGGCCATACAGTGGAACACTGTCTGAAAAAAAAACAAAAAACAAAACACAAAACAAACAAACACACACACACACACACACACACACACACAAAGAAAGGAAGAAAGAAATCCCAACAGTGATACATAAGGATTTATACACTTTTTATGTGGTGTATAGAATGTCAGCCATTGCCATTTACTCTGTTGGGCACTGTCAGCCCTTGATTACTAATAGGAGCTGGAAAGGCATGGTGCCCTTGGAGAAAAGGCACAAGAGCCTTGGGAAGTGGTGAGGCTGGCCACATTCTGCTGGGAAACTCAGTCTCCTGCCTCTCCCGCCTCATAGTCCAGTTGCAGACTGTGTCCCTAGGGAAGGGCCTTCACAAGACAGAGGATTGGAAAGGTTGCAATTCAGGTGCCTTTCCATGCCCAAGGCTTGCATTTTTCCCTGCTTTCTTCACTCCCACTCAATTGAGAGAGCTACTGAGTCTGTGATTTACTCAATACCTCTTAAGTGGTACAGCTCACACACAGGAACGATGCATTGGTGGCGTACACCTTTAATCCCAGCACTCGGGAGGCAGAGGCAGGTGAATCTCTGTTTGAGGTCAGCCTGGTCTACAGAGCAAGTTCCGGGACAGCCAGGGCTACACAGAGAGACCCTGTACCCCCACCCCCACGCACGCCAAGGAAGTGAGAGACATGGTAGTATACAAACCATTAAGATTTTACTTCATTTTAAAATGTCCAGTTTTGAGAATCATAGTCTTAACCCAAATGCAGCAATAGCTCATATTTTTCTAAGGGTTTTACGGTATGACTAAGACTGGAGATGTAACTCGCTGACCTGTAGAGCACTGCTGTACCGTTCCTTAGGCCCCAAGTTCAGTCCCCACATGGGTAGGAGCTAAAAGTGAGGGGAAAAAAAAAATAAGAAAAATTAGGTCAAAATTAAATCCTTTTCGATGAGGAAAGTAAATTAAGTCTAAAAAACTTGGCAGAGTGGCTTGAGCTGGAGTTCCCTACAGTGCGGGGGGGGGGCCACAGGAAAGGACCAGAGAATGGGGGAGGTCGTGGCTTCTCAAATCACCTCTGAGGGGCTGTCAGGGAAACGTAGAGCACAGTCATTGAGAATACAGAGAAGACTGCTGGAGACTATCCAGTGTCCCCGCCCCCAGCTAGCGGCCTGGTCTGCACAGGGTAGGGAAGAGGGAGGGTCACGTGTCACAGGAGGCTGGGAGCACGCATGTGCTCTGCCAGCCCCCAAACTAGACCTCAGTAGTAACATGCCCTGCCCCCTCCTCACCTCAGTGTGACGCACTGCTGTCCAGACTGACAGAGCTGCAGGACAAGTTCAAATCCTGCCAGCAGGAGATGGGGCGCCTGCAGATGGAGCAGTGTGAACTCCTGGAAGACCAGAGGAGACTGCAGGAGGAGCAGGGCCAGCTGCAGGAGGAGCTGCACAGGCTCACGTTCCCACAGCCCAAATGTGGCCTCTTGCAGAAGGTACTCATTGCCAGGGTCAGGGCAGGCTGCTTTGAGAAGCTTCCAGGTATAAAGAAGCCGCCCGTGGGAAAGATAGAAGTCAGGGAAGTGAGCATTTTCCTTTCTTGGCCAAGCGCTTTTTCCTTTCTCACCATTCTCCCTGCAGAGCTGATTTGGATGTTTCTTCAGAAGGGCTTTAAACCTTAAAATATATTTTATATTCTGAAATCTGTGCAGCACTGTATATTTAGATATTTGGTCCATCTGGAGGAAGTGTACCTGAAAATCACTGGAAAATATATCCACACATAGGAATCTTTTTTTTATTCAATTAGCAGAGCTCCCTAGAAAGAACCCCTCTCCCCAGAAGGGCTATGTGGATCAGTAAAGAGACAGAGCCCATTGGGGACAGGGCCTAGGAGGGGTACTTCCCTTTTAATCATCACTTTTCCTTCCTCTGCCCTACTCAGAGTCAGGAGCTGCTTTCAAAGTTGCAAGACCTGTGTGAAATGCAGCTGCTCTACCAAAGCATGCAGGACGAACAGAGAAAACTGATAAAGAATCAAGAGAGTGTATTAAAGGAGCAGTTAGAGGCACACAGAGAGCTTCGAGGGTTCAAAGAGTCTAATTTCCAGGAAGTGTTGGTGAACCCTCGTGATGCCAAAGGGCCTAAATCCTCCACTTGTGAGAACAAGGTAACCACAGCAGAAAGGAGGGGAGTGGGCCTTGTGAGTACAGTGATGTGACAAGGACCAGGGCGCAGTGCAAGAGTTGAGTCAGGAAGGCCTGTTTGGAGGCAGGGTGAGGCTACCGCCCTGCCTGCGCTTCACTGGTCAGGGTCCTCCGTGGGCTCCAGTAAGCTGTTGCTCTGCTTAGATGCCCTGAGGATCACCCTCAGAGGCACACACTCTGGTTTGATGTTTGGAATTCTAGAGTGATTTACTTTAAGAGCTGAAGTGTAATCAGCAGCTAGAAAAGAGTTCGAGTGGCACAAAAGTCTGTCTGATTCAGCCCCGCCAGCATGGCATTTCCAAGATGTGTGGGATCAATTCAGGGTTTGTTTTGGTTCCTTTGGACTGACCCTGAATGTATCACCTTTTTTGTTTGAGCTGGAAAGTCTGCTTCTCCATTTTCTGAGTTTTTAACCTTTTGAGGCTCCATGAACAAATCTGGGCCCAGTCATCTGCAAGGAAAGCAGTTGCAACAGACAGGTTCGTTGGTTCTGACTACACTATCCAAGCCAGGTCACAGGGATGTAATAGAAAATCAGTGTTTCTCAAACACTACCAAGTGCCTAGGTAGAAATATCTATACGAGTCTATTCAGAGTTGGGGAATAAATGTGGTCTGAGGTAGACAGCGCAGGTAGACAGTTCCAGTTCAGGCTACGTGCGTGGACAAGGAGAACCAGGAAGTAGCACAAATCCAGACAGTGGAGCTTGATCGTTCCAGGCTGTCAGATACCTAGGCTGAAAAGCCAGATAGAAACTGTTCCCTTAATCAGTTATAGCTAATGCTGAATATCCTCAAGACCAGACACAGAATCCTAGCAGAAGGTACAGGGACTAGTGGGTAACAAGACCTTGATTCCAAGCTTGCACCTTCCAAGGAAAGAATTCATATTCACACATTCCCAGCTGGGCTGATTTTACCATGAGGAGTGGGGGAGAGGACTGAGCCTAAAGATCAGGATGGTGGGTACACTTGATTTTAAGTGATGGTATGGTAGGGAGCTTGAGACCCACCTACACTGCTTCAAGGAGGAAGATGTATAATGCCAGAGTACAGAAACCAGCAGAAACAGGAGCCCTAAAAATCACTGAGTCTCTGTCCTGGGGAGATTTTCCTGAAGGAGCGGAAAGTTGACATATACCACCAGTACCTGTAGGTTAAGTCAAAGACAGAGTCCTTGTGAGACTGAGGTGTGTTTGTGTACAGTTCCCTGCCCTGGGAGAGGGGCAGCTAAAAGAACTGAAATGTCTCAGAGTAATGGTGATGTCTCCTGCTCCCCTGCCTCCCCCTAGTCCAAGGTGCTTATGGACCAGCTGCAGGCTCTGCAGGTGCTGTATGACACCAGTCAGAGGCAGCAGGAGCTACTGCAGCAGGAGCATGGGCGGCTCCTGGAGGAGCGGAAGAGGCTGCAGGCTGAGCTACAGCTCTGCATGGAGGAGATGCAGCTGCTCCAAAGTCAGTCCCCCAGCATAAAAATGAGCCTTGAGTCCTACAGGAAGACCCCAGGCAGCATGGCCCCCAGTAGTGAGAGCTTCCACAGGAGTTATGACAGCACCATCGAGGACAATGAATGCTATCAAAGGAGTTATGTAAGTTCTCAGGTCAGCAACGACAGCTTCCTCAAGAGCTATGAGAGCTCCACCAGTTTCAGTGAGGCCTTTCAGAAGAGTTACCGCTCCAGCAACACAAGTGTTTCCTGTAAGAAGAGTTATGGTAGTGCCGTTAGCTCTGAAAACCTTCACAAGAGTTATGTTAGCAGTGGTGCTGATGAGGACCCAGCCGAGCCTGAAGACCTAGAGGTAACCATTGCCAGATGATTGGTCAGAGGGGAAGACGGGTTTCTATCTTTGGGAGAAGCATCACCAGGGGATGGGCATAGAGAGTGACACAGGAGTAGGGTCAGTCAGAGCTGGCCTGGAAGACTCCCTGAAATATGTGAGGCTTCTGGTCATGGCTGCCCTGTTTCCCCTCGCTCCTGACAGAGGTAGCCTGATTAGGACAAAGACCCCAGGGTTCAGGACTTTGAACATAGTCAGGACGTCCTTTCTGGGAAGAAATACAGTCTCCCCTAGGCAACTCCCGGGACGGGCCTAGCAAGGTGTAGGGCAGAGGTCAGCTGCTTCTTGGGGTGCGGTCATTGCTCCCCCACTCTCTGCAGCACTTTGAGGAGACAGTGGCCAAGGTGCTGACCAAGTTGCAGGCAGTGAAGGCCCTGTACCAGGTGAGCCAGGAGGACCACAGCCAGCTGCAGGAGCAGATGAACAGGCTGCTGGTGAAGCAGCAAGAGCTGAAGCAGGAGCTGGAGAGCTGTGAGAGGGACTTGAGGGAGTGCATGGAGAGCCTCGAAAAGCCTGCAGCTCCCCAGAGCGACAAGACCGAGGTAACTGTGCCCAGTGGCAGAGTCCCCAGACCACTTAGAGACTAAGGTAGGGAGGGGAGTGCAGGGAAGCCAAGTCCCAAGAGGCCAGACTGCCCGCTGCACCAGATGGTACCAGATGGACATTGCTCAGGTGAAGGGCGTCCAGTGCTCACCGCTGGCATGCTGGTTAACCAGGCTACTTTTCCCCCTTTGCTGCTTCTATGGTCTCTTTCACTTTGTGCCCAGAGCACTTGTATGGAGCCGTATTGTCTTACTTGACAATTTTCTTTGATTATTTTGAGGTCATTGTCTTTTTTTTTTTTTTTTTTTAACTAGATTATATACACTTCGAGGACAGGGTCATTGTCCAGTAGGAGGGTCACTGCATGTGTGCCAGGGAGAGATGGCCAGAGTGATGGCCACCTGAGCCTAGTCTGATTGGTACTTCTTGAACAGACCATATGCTGCCATAAGCCTAGGGGGACAAAAGCTGAGATTAGGGGCAAGGTTCTAACTGTGTAACCAGGAAGGAGGCACAGGTGCCCAGCATACTGCCAAGTATATGCAACAGCTCCCTGCATAGCTGTCTATTAGAGGGATGGACTGGGTAAAGTAGGAGTTCCTGGAGAAAGGATTTGATGATAATAAGTGCCTAACATTCAGAAGTGGTGGCAGTCCTGTAGTTCTTCCCCAGACAGGTCCTGATCAAAAATGTAATAATTACTGATTTAATACTAATTTTTTATGATGCTCGATGCAGACCTTCAGTTAACCTCAACTTAGGGAGAAAGCTGTGTGTATTAGGCCTCATTGGCTGCTTGGGAGCTTTAGCAGGGAGAGGTGCCAGGCAGTGATCCCTTGAGGGCCTGGGCTGACTGACGGGGCGGGCGGGACTGCTGTGGATAACTGGAATCCCACCACCAACAGATCAAAGAGCTGCAGACTAAGCTGCGGGAGCTGCAGCTGCAGTACCAGGCTAGCATGGATGAGCAGGGCCGGCTTCTGGCAGTGCAGGAACAGCTGGAGGGGCAGCTCCAGTGCTGCCAGGAAGAGCTCCGGCAGCTCAGAGAGTGCAGGCCCTCTGTTAGCTCAGAAGCCAGGGGGAAGAACGGCAGTAAGAATATGAACAAGAACGCCAATGGAGTGAGGTATAAGAAGATGAGCAAGGCATGCTCAGAGGACTCAGAGGACAGCATTGAGAATGAAAAGGTGAGTTGCAGCCTCAGCAGGCAGAGGCAGGTGGCTGGCCGAGGCCCTGGGAAGAAACATCGTTTCCACTAACAGTTCCACAGTTCCTGCCGAGAAAGCTACTTTGAGGAAGGCTTTTGGTAGCACTAATGTCTGCAGGAGTTCTGTCTTTATAAGAGTTTGGACACCTTTCTGGGTGCTGTGGGGAGAATGCCCAACAACTGCTTTCACTAGCCCAAGCCCATCGCTGGGGCTCCTTTGTTCCCAGTTCCGTGATCAAGGAAAAGCCCAGCTAGAGACAGAGAGAGGGGGAATTATTCAAGAGGATTGGGTGTGGTAAAAGTTTCCAGGAAGGGTAGGAAGCAACAGTTGAGGAGCAGAGCCCAAGAATCTTGAATTATAGTTAAGTGCCTAAAATGGCGTAATGATCAAATAAGAAGCGCTGGCTTAACACACTGACAGTGACTGCCCTCCATACCATTCCTGGAAAGATTAGCGCGTGGTCCCAAACTACGGGTCTGCCCAGTGGGACTCTGGCATGGTACAAGTAGGGCCTGTCTGTCTTGAGGGTACACTTCTTTATAAGTAACAGCAGCCCCACCCTGCCCTGCCTCCACCTGCAGAGTCTGGAGGTGGTGCTGTACTACAAGGCCAGCCAGAGGAAATTAGATGAGATAGCGAAAGAGGACAAGGAGATGGAAGAGGCAAACAGGAAAAAGAAACAAGACAAGAAAGAATCATGTGAACTAGCTACTAAGCCAGCAGATCCTAGGGAAGAGCCTGAGCCTACAGAAAATGAGGATGGAGACTACGAAGAGTACAGACAAGGGGATAAGGAAGACATTGAAGATGAGGAGGATGAGTCTTCTGAGACTGCTGAGGAAGGCAATCCTCTTACGCTTTCTGAGAGCAGAAAGGTAACCACAGCCAAGGTGGACGAGTGGGGATGACCCTAGGGTTCAGGTGCCCTAATTTCCAGAAGTGGCCCTGCCTGGGATGTACTTCTACAAGAGTAGAGGCCAGGGAGTATGCGCTGCGCATGGGAATGGGGAAGGGGTTGGCAAGGCAGTCTCTCTGAGGAAAATGGCAGGTGGGGTCCTGTGTGCTCTCACTTACGCTGTAGCACTCAGGACCTCCCTCTATCATCCTGGCCTTGATAGCGTAGGCCTTTCTTCAATCCTGCTTTCCCATTGTACCCTGTGCAAGTTAAGCCTTGTTAGTGCTGTGACTTGGAGGCTTGTATCACCCACTAGGTTTTGCATATTATCCGATGTGAGAGTTGGGCCTTGGGAGTCAACAGTGAACCAGGTAGTGCTCAGAGTTTCAGTCTACACAGCAGGGACACTGGCCCGGGTACCAGCGGCCACTGCTCTAACCCCTTAGTTCCTGGATCTTTGAGAGATTGGAAGGGAGGTATCTTGGGGTATATGCAGATGGCAGGTAAGTTAGCCACTTACAGAAATACTTTCATCTTTTAACAACGTATACATTTCCAGTGGTGTGTGTCAGCTGAATTCCTACTCTGAGGCTAGTTAGCTACGTTCCCAGTTTGCCGTGCAGAAAGCCGTCTCTTGTGATGGGTTGTTTCCCTCACTTTATTGATATCTGGGATTTCCCAGCACTTCAGTCTACATTACTGGTCCATGGCCCAGTATGCAGTTCCCTATTAACCATGAGGTTTGAATACTTGTTACTTAGGATGTAAACAGGAGTGACTGTAGCCCTTCCCCAGGCCAGTGTTTCTTTTGAACTTAATATATTCTACCACAGACTGCTTCAGCACTCGTAGACTTCTTGACCCCAGGGACCACTTTTCTAAGTCTAAGCTTGACTTTTGTACTTCAAAGTCAAATGCATTGTTGATGTCTACACATGTAGATGCCCCTTTGCCCCAGTGGGTCCTGAATCTTTTGCGAACAGTTCAACTGGCATTCATGTTACAGCAAACAAATTCAGTTTCTCTTTGTAAGATGTTGCAGTCAAAGAACTGACCTCTTCCATTGTTAGGTGTATTACATTTTGTGTCACAAAGCATTAGATTCCTAGGGGATCATAGGAACCGGAGCTCTGCATACCACTGAAACTAATAGAAAGTAAAGCAGGCAGGTAGCCAGCCTGGCTGAAGACAGGCTCTTTCTGGAGGGATGCGGGAAAGTATCTACCTGATTCCTGTAAGGAATCCCATTGTCTTCTCTGAAGCTTCACTTCCCCTGGGGTGTCTGACTCAGTAAAGATCTAGGTGCAGGTAACTTCTGCTTGACAAGATAGGAGCTGCACATAGCTAGAGAGAAAACTGGTCCAGATGCCTCATTTGGACCTATCTGCTGTTTAACTCAGTTTTGCAACTGTTGCCGGCTGCTCGTGTGAGGAACGCCTCTGCTCTTCCTATGGCTCTGGGAGCAGAGAGGAAATGCCGATGCCCCAGCTTATGTGGTTTTTAACCTTTGATTCTTTTCTCTTTTCCCCTTGTTCTCTCATCTTCATTATCTGTTGGATTTGTGTGTTTGTGTCTTTTCATACAACCACGCGTCTCCCGGTCTCTCCTGTGCTTCTCATTTGACATGTTGCAGCCATCCCCTGCCCCTGATCCCCCCATATTCTCCTTGCCTCTTGTAGGCCTGGTGGTCATATCAGCTCTGCTCTGGTGCTGGTGGGCTGAGACATCGTCCTAACCCAGGTACTGGTATAGCTTCCTCTCTTCTCCCTCAGCTTCTTACTCCTGCCGTTATACAATAGGCGATGCTCGGGTCTGAGCTTTAGCCCTGGCTTTTTCTTACTTTGCTGCAAAGCCTACAAGCCTTCTTGAGCGTGTCATGATATTCATAATGCGCAGGGAGTTGGAATGCTTATCAGAGGCACAGTTAGAGTCTCTTTCCTTGGCACCTTTCTGTTGCTACCGACAAAGCTGCCAAGCTACTTCTGATGAGCTGATGTTTGCCTCGGGGTAGGCCTGAGCTTTGTCCTCGTTTAAACCCTAGAGCCAAGCTTTGGCCATTGTTTTAACCCAGAAGGAATTACTCCCTGTGCTTAAGGGAGAGAGAGGAGGTCCAAAGAGCTGTGGTCCTTCTGGTCCTCTCAGGGACATTTGGGTGAGAACCTCAATTGGCCCTTCCACCTTGATGGAAGTGGAACCGAATCCCTGCTGAAGTATATATTCCTGCTTTAATATTCCTGGTTACCAGAAAAATGGCAGCCAAGTCCCAGGAAATTATGTACGCTTGCGTTCATTCCTTTGGGGAACCAGATCCCATATAATTGGCTTCTCAAGCCAGGCTTCTGGAGAGGATGTGATGTTGGTGAAAAGCTCCTCATGATTTCAGATGTAATGTTCTCAGGAAATCAAGACCGATGTGTTCTGGGCACCTCTCCACTGGCCTAGCTCACGTAGTCTGGTCTGTTGACAGAATTGCCGGTTTAGGATGAAGATTGTTTGATGATCTAAGGTAGGAACCTGTGGTTCCGCTTGCCTCCTGGGACCTGTGAGTTTTATTTTGACTTCTTTCTCGGACTCTGCCACTTCTCTCTCCTCTTCTCCTGCCTCTTTAAATAAAGTGCAGTTGACTCATACAGAGTTTCACAGCGACAGCTTTCGTTGGTGACACCCTCACCATTTTTCCTGTATGTATTTGGTGAGCTGGTATATGGAGGCCAGAGGACAACTTTCGGGAGTCCATTGTTTCCCTTCTACCCTGTCTGTCCCAGAGGTGGAACTCAGGCCATCAGCTTAGCAACAAGGGACTTCACCTGCTGAGCCAGCTTGCCCCCCCCCACCCCTCCACCCACCCCCACTTCCCCCCACCACTCCCTCCCCCCTTCCTCTTTTCTCTTTAATCTTCTCACTGTCCCCTGCCTCAGGCTTCCTCGTAGGCCTTTCAGTTACTTCCCAGGACAGTCTTTGGCTCCTTCCATGACAGGGAACTCTCCTTACACCCATTCCTCTCTGCATACTCCCAGAAGTTTCTGGAGTCCCTGTGGAATGGGACACAAGGGATTCAGCCACAGCCTTCTGCGGGGCTCCACCAAGCCCCATCAGAGTGCAGGAAAGGAACTGTGGTTAAGGCCTCACTTGGGAGACTTTTGTGCCTTGAGCTCTGGCCACGTCTCCAGTGTACAGCCTCTGCTGTACTGTAGCTTAGAAGGCAAGTGATAAGAGCGTGACAGAGTCCCCTGTTAGCTTTGTCCACAGGGAACAAAGTACATGATTTAGACTTCAATTTCTTCAAAGGTAAATGAAGAATGATTCTGCCCTGCCTTTCTCATGGTGTCTGTAAGGATCACATAAACTAACATGTGTAAAGCACCTCAGAGCCTGCCAGAAAGATGGCCCAGGAACAACAGTGCTTGCCTGAGTTTCTTCCGTGGGACTCGCATGGTAGAAACAGAGAACCTATTCCTACAAGTTGTCCTCTGACCTCCACATGGAAACCGCCCCCAATTTAATGCAGTAACATTTTTAAAAGTTACAAAAATAGATTACATTTAATTTTTAAAGTTGCTTGGGTAACAAAAAGAGCATGCATTTGAGCAGCGTGTGATGTGTGCCCACACTTCCCTAGTCGCAGTGCGTGTATGAACCAGTTTAATTCCCACAGCAATCCTCTGAGGAAGCCTTTCCGGCTCGTTTTACACATGAGAAAACTGAGGTACAGACAGGTGACTACAGCCAGGCGTTGCAGCTGTGATTGTAAGGGGCCAGAGGGACCCTATCTGCAGTTATAAAGTTAGACTCTTGGCAGGGTGTGAGGACATGTGCCTGTATCCCCGTCAATTCAGTCGGGGAGGCAGGAAGGTGGGACTTTGAGACCAGCCTGGGCTACAGAGTAAAGTCCTTGTCTCAAGAACAAAAACACCACCAAATCCTCTTTCTGTGTCTTAGCCCCCTTACTGTTCCCTTCCTTACCCACCCATCCCCATTTTCCTTTTTGATTTTTTTAAACAGGGTCTCTTGTAGCCCATACTGGCCTCAAATTATATGTAGGGGAGGATGACCTTAAACTCCTGGTCATCCTGCCGCCACCTTTGGATTCCTGGCATTATATGTGTGTGCCACCACACTGAGTTTGGGGTGCTGGGGATCAAGTCCAGGGCTTCAGACATGCTAGGCAAGTGCTCTACCAACTGAGCTCAGTCCCAGCCCTTGTTTATTACCTCCTCTCATTTGGAGAACCTCTCAGTGGTTGGCCCCCAAGAACAACAGATAATACTGTTAGCCTGTTCTGCTTATACAACCTTCACCCCAGTAGCTCTCCTGATAACTAGTGTTAATTTATTCACATCTTGTTTCTAAAACCTTTTGTACACTATGCACACTAAGTATCTTCTCCCTATTCTGTACTAACGCTTGATTGGAGTGCAAAGGCCAAGTTTTCCATTCTTCTCTCTTAACTACAGTTCACTGCTGTAACCTATACATTTTTGTGGGGTTTTGTTTGTTTGATTGTTTACCTTGACCCTGTGTTTTCACAATATCCCTCTTACCCACTAACTTCATTCACATTCTCAGGGGTGACCCAGGCTCTAAGGACTTGTCTTGCCAAGGTCTATTTAGTCCTCAGTTTGGCCACTTAAGAAATGACCATGCAACAGACTATGCTGTCTGCCCGTGGCCTTCAAGGAAATCTTGTCAGACACCTTGCTTAGGTCCAGATATGATTTCCTTTATTTATTTATTTATTTATTTATCATGTATACAATGTTCTGTCTGCATGTTTCCCTGCAGGCCAGAAGAGGGCACCAGATCTCACTACAGATGGTTGTGAGCCATCATGTGGTTGCTGGGAATTGAACTCGGGACCCTTGGAAGAGCAGTCAGGGCTCTTAACCTCTGAGCCATCTCTCCAGCGCCCCCCCTCCCCATATGATTTCCTTAATCTGTCAGTTTGGCGATACACCCAGAAGCCTGTGATTTCTAGAAGGTGTCTGAAGCCTTTGGGACACTCAAGTAACTCAATCCATTGTTATCTGTTTGCGCATGGTTGCCAGGCCACCCACCGGGGCCCTTAACAGTGGCTGCATCTCCAACAACAAAAAGTGACTATCCCTCTCCCACATCCATCAGCTGTCAGTAGCACGGCTAGAGGGGGCATCTGGAGGTTGTTATGGAGTTTGGAACGCGGTCCTCATGTATCCCAGACCGACCTCCAACTGGTCGTGTGGCAAAGCACTAGAATTATGTGTGTTCCCACAGCTGGAGCAAACATGTTCTAGATTGTCCATTTGTCTTGAAAGGGCCTGACATGTAGACCAGGCAACGGCATTCATATATTCTCCTGGTTCTGCTCCAAGTTTTTTATTATGGATTATTCTGTACATCTACTTCCAATATTAAGTTTTTTTCATTTTACATATTCTGTGCTTAGTAACTATTCCAACAGATTTGGGAGGTTAGCTTTGCTGTTTGTAATTAGCTTAACTTTTTCTTTTAGATCAGTTATCCACTAAGCAAATGAGTTGTTAGCTTTAATTGGCTCTACTCCATTTGTCCTTCAAGCCATCTTTCTATCCCCTTATGCCATAACATATTATTCAAAATCAAAATTCTACCCTTTGAGCAATACAGTAAAAAGAATAGTAAAGATAGGGACTGTTTCTCTTATTTTCATGCCCAAGAGAATTCATGTTTCCTGAATATTTTTATGGTGTCATTTGCTGCTCATGAATCATCATGGTTTACCAGCAGTCAGAGTGTTTAAAAGCCTTACACACTCTTAAGTGCATGGTACTAGGTCAATCCATGGCCTAGTGACTGAATGTGGAGAGCTGGAGTGAGGAGTGGATTTATTGGCTCTTGACACTTGCTGCCCTGAGTTCCCTAGAAATAATACCGTCTGACATAACCTCTGGCTAGCAGTGAGCCCCTACTTACTTCATTCTACATTGCATTTCGGCCACTTCCCCATCCCTCCTCCTCTTAACTCAGATCTCACTTCTACATAAAGCTCGTGAGACGTGCCTGCCTTCTCCAAAGGCCTACGCTCTCTTACACACACACACACACACACACACACACACACACACACACACGCGCGCGCGCGCGAGTCTCTGGAATCTTGCTTGTACACTAGGAACCAGTATTCTCATTCCATGGGACAAATCAAGTACAGATTCAGGAATAACCTAAGTGCTACATACAGTGTCCTGCCACAAACCTAGTGGCACCAGAATGAGACCACAGTCTCCATGGTTACTGACATGCCCTCTAACAGGCAGGTGATTCTGGCTTAAGGAGGGATGGAAGGATTCAGAAGGCCAGCAACTCACTGTTTCCCCTTGATTCCCACAGAACATGTTTGGGATGTGGAAGCCCATGGTATTCTTGGCTATTGCAGCAGTGGCTCTGTATGTGTTACCCAACATGCGACCGCAAGACACAGAATACTGCTACATGAAGTGATGGCAGATCTGGGCCAACCCAGAGGGCAGGATCCCCAGAGGCTGCCACTCTCACCTTTGGGCAGAACACACTGTGCCAGAGCCCCCACCCCACCCATGTGTCCCATCCTCTTTGCCTCAGCCACTCAGACTGGAAAGGCTTCAGGGAGTTGCTGGCTCCCAACCTCCTGCCTTGTGTAAGAACCTGGGTTCCTTGTAATTAAATGTCAACCTAATTACATGAGACATTGTGTGGCTTTTTCTTCATTAACTGTTTCACACCACAGAGAGATTGAGCTGTACCTATTTAACCCCATCTCAAGGGACTCCTAAGAACACAGAAGTGGAGTGAGCTGCTGGGTAGGTAGGTACCCGTGTATGGGGCAGGGGCAGGGGGCAAGCAAAGATCTCTCAGTTTCTATACCCGAAGATCTTTGTGGGAACCTTTGTGGCTTAGCCTTCCAATTCAAGGCACTCACTTTTGGAGACATTTTAATTAGACAAGAGCCTGGCAGTAAACAAGACATTGGATGCTTGAACTGAAGAGAATTTCATGAAGCAATTATGTGTGGAAGACCGGAGAACCAAGGAGAAATTGTCAAGCATTCAGGTCCTAAGAAGAAGGAAACATTGTTAGCACCCAAGGCTGGAGGAGGAAGAAGGAATTTACACTTCAGGTCTCAACCCATTATTGAAGGAAGTCGGCCTGAACTCAAATCAGAACCCACAGAAGAATGCTATTTGCTGGCTTGCTCCCTGGTCCACTTTGCTAGCTTTCTTATGCTACCCAGGCGCTGTGCCACTCAAAGTGGGCTGGGCGTTCCCACATCAATCATCTGTCATGACAATCCCTCACAAATATGGTCACAGGTCCAGATCCTAGCCATCCTCCCTCAGGTGAGACTCTTCAGATGACTTTAGGCTATGTCAAGTTGACGGCTGAAGGATACTGAGCAAGCCCGATGACCTAACGTCAATTCCCTGAACCCATTGTGGAATGAAAATCGATTCTTGAAAGTTGTCCTCTGGCCTCCAAATGTGCACCATGGTGTATGCATACCTTCACTCACTCACCTGACACACAAATAATACTTTCAAAGGCCGGGGCCCTGATAGGAGTGCTGTACCAGATCTCTGGGGATAAGGGAAGTTTAGTACCCTTTCCTCCCATCAGCCTGAATCCCAGTGGCATCTCACTGGCTGAAACTGTCAGTGAACCAGAGAGTAGATGTGCCAACGTGATGTAATCCTTCAAGGTCAGCCTCCTGGAGCTTAATGCTGGACGGGATTGAGAATATCTTAAAGGATCGCAGCATGGCTGGGGCAGTTTACTGAGGCTTCTGTTTACTTTCACCCCTGAGAAGTCCTTCCGTTGTGATTGGTTGTTCTCAAAAATATCGTTCCACATGCAAGACCCTCAACTAGTGGACAGAATGGCTCTTATGACCTTGAAACCCCAACTTTCTGTCGTGTGACAAACTTTACCTGGGGAATCACAACACACACACACACACACACATCTACTCACAATAGTTAGGGAACCTATGACAGACCAAAATACAGATACCACCAAAATCAAATTTGGTGAACCAATGAGTTTTATTGGGGTCGCTTACAGGAGCAGAAATGACTCAAAGACAGCTACATCACCAAAGCCCACACCGGCACAGTGACAGTTCACAAAGCCGGGAATCTGGAGCACACACACACAGCCTGCAGGCAGCTCAGCAGGTTGGAGAGTTTCCTTTCCTGGTGCCTCAGATGGTCTCTGTCTCTTCCAGGAAGCCAAGAGACCTGCACCAAAGGTCTGGATAATGACAGAATATGGCCTGCCTTTCCTCACAAGCAACAATTGTTCCCTTTAGGATACCCGGCCCTCTCCCCAGTTTAAAACATGCCCCAGGGATGGGGAGATGGCCCAGCAATGAAGACTGCTTCCTGTTCTTTCAGAAGATCAGAGTTCAGTTCCCACCACCCACATTGGGCAACTTACAACTGCGTCTAACTCCAACTCCAGGGGACCCAACTCCCTCTTCTGGCTTTCTCTGTCTCTCTGTCTCTCTCTCTCTCTCTCTCTCTCTCTCTCTCTCTCTCTCTCTCTCTCTCTCACACACACACACACACACACACACACACACACACACACACACACACACCTTCCCTCTCTTCATTTGGGTTGGACTGCTTTCAGTGTTTTTGCTCCCATGTTCCCAGAGCACATGAAACAGATCTCTTTCTGTTCAATGTGAAACATTCACCTGGCTCAGCATAAAAAGTCAAAGAGAAACTGATTTGAAGTCTAGAGAAAGTGTGTTTTCAAAACCACAGTCAGGTAGGTACCGCAATCTGGGTACAGTTAGAACGAAGAAGCCTAGCTACTGCCCTCTGCATAGCTGCCTGCTTTCTGCCCACTGCCTGCAGACCATGCAGAGTGGCACCTGCAGCTTCTGCCAAGGACAGCTGCTGTTCCGGCAGGTTAAGTATTAGGATGGAGGGAGATCTGAACTGTGGACACAGCTGTGAGGAAGGGCTCTACTCCCCAGAGGAATTTAGTGTCTTAGCAGCAGAAGCAGCCGATGAGATCTTTCAGTACCCAATAAGTGCCAGGTACCATGCTAGCCCTCATCCATGTTAATTTGGTTTGTTTTGCTCCTTGTCTTTATACACTCTTTGAGGACACGATTAACTCCATTTTACAGATGAGGGAAAAGAGGCTTCAAAGAGTGGTGTATCCCACTAAAAGTCTGTAACCTGCAGAGCTAGATGAGCAGAGACTGGGATTCAGCCCTGTACCTCTCCCCGCCGCCACCCTGCCTGACATCCAGGCCAGGCCACAGTATCACTATCAGGATCTCTACTCTGGAGGCCTAGCATCATCACAGGTGACCATGGGAATGTCCCTCGTTCCAAAACTCAAAATTTTCAAACTTGGCACATTTGACTCACTCCAATGACTTTAAGCCAAGTTAAAAATGACCACTGCTGGTACTGATAAGCCGTGTCCCTTGATGGGAGAGGCAGGCCCAGGTGATGAGCCAGGCAACTGGGTCTCTGAGATAGGTCACCAGATAGTCCAGGGGCTATAAACAGCCTGTGGCCCCAGCCAACGCTTCTCAAAGGCTCTCAGCTGATGAAACCACCTGTAAAGCCCCTCTTGGGACCTCTGCCTGGCTTGTGGGAAGAACATACTAGCTTTTCTCAGGGTGGGGGCCCCCCTTGGCAGGCCCCAGGACAGCATTGTGCACGGTCCGTTCTGCCTGCATGGCTGAGGCTGAGGCCTGGGCTCATGGGCTATATTGAGGGCTGAGTCACCAGCCTGCTCCTGGGTAGGCTGACTGTGACAGGCTGCCTGGGCCTGAGTCAGGCCCCGATTTATCCTGGAGAGCGACAGACTCTCAGGTTTCCGGGAGGAGGGTGACGGGAAACATCCATTGGCGCTCTGGGCCCTGCTCTGCTGACTGACTACTCCCTCCCTCCTGTCTGGGGCCTGCACATGGATCTCCCTGGAGTGAGATAACGAATTGAAAAGAGCTAGAAGGAAGCTATCCCTAGGAGGTCTCTCCCCTTGCTAGCTTCCTTCTGAACATTCCCGTATCAACAGAGTCCCTGGCCTGACCAGGGACCCCCATAACACACACACACACACACACACACACACACACACACACACACACACACACGAGACTGAGAGCCAAGGGGGACTGTGAGGGGTTGGCCCCAGGTACCCTGCCCAATCTCCTTTCTCTGTCGCCAGTAACTCTGAGAGTAATCTAGTCTTTTTCAGATCGATATTTCTTCAACAAGGACAACACCCCATGGAGCCTAGTGTTCCTGGGTCCTCAGGGTTTGGCTGTTAGAAGTCTGCCCTTACACACACACACACACACACACACACACACACACACACACACGAGCTTCCCTTGTGAGGCCCAGCTATGTGTCTAGAGCCAGGCGCACCTCCACAAAATAGCTGAGTCGTTCAAATAGACAGTGCAGGTGCCTGCTGGGGCCTTTGGCTGTGGGATGGAGGTGGTTTGGGGAGAATGACAGTATGGAAGACGAGGAGGGGGGCTGCCGCAGGAGAGTGGCATTCCTGAGCACCTCGTCACGGGCAGCCAACAGAACATGAGCTGCAGGGCGCAAGCTATTTATACCTCTCCTGTCATTCTCAGGGCCCCAGAGGCACCCTGCCACACACAGGTCCCTTTCTGTTTCTGGCCCCTTCTCTACTCCTCCCCCACTCCCTGCCTAAGGACCAGGCCTCCTCATTAGGTGAGAAGAACAAGAAGCGACTGATGGCAATGTCATCATGGGCACTGCCTCCCTCAAAGCCCCTACGCTCCCTCTCAAGTCCATAATGGGCATTGCTTTGGGGGGAAAGAGCCCCCAAAGATGTTCACTATCCCCTTTCTTTATACCATGCCCGGGGAGAGAGGAATAAAGTAAAATGATTTACCTATCAGGTCAAAGAACCATTCCAAGCCTCAGCTCTCACATGGCTTAGGGACTGCCTTCCTCCAACACTAAACTTACTTCATTTTGAAGGATGGGAAAGCACAGGACACACACCCTGGAAGGTGTCAGGACATCTGACCTCTCCTTAATATAGAGATGCATCTTTGTAGCTCTTTCTCTCGTCTGAGACAGGCTGCTGGGACTGCCTCAGTTTCTCCGTTGCTGACATCCCCCATGCCTCTTGCCTTATCGGGCTGCTCAACCTACTCCTGCCTAGGCTCCCAGCCTGCCTCACTTCATGCCCACTTGCCCCTGGCCTGCCTACTTGCCCCAGTCGCATTTCCCTTGACTCCTGTGCCAGGGCTCTTCCTGCTAATTGGCACACTCCTGCTTTCACATATGGGCATATTGCCCAGGGGGCTCCCTGGTACTGCCGGCGGGCGGTGTTTCCCTCCCCTCTTCAACTTGGTTGAGTCAGGCTGGTGTGGGGGGCCGACACAAAGTGACTCATTGGGTGCCTTCATTCTGAGCCAGTAAGTCTAAATGGGCTGGTGACAGGGACACTGAGTGAGCATCAGGAGCCTTGGTCTTTTCTCCTGTGGCCCTGGATTTGTATTCCAAATAAGGGTTTTCTGCTTGTAAAGTGGCAAAATAAGGGGAGCCTCTTGAACTCAGTCTTCCCCCCAAGTTCCTGGTCAGTGTTCCTGCTTCCTCTGGGGTTACACACACACACACACACACACACACACACACTTCCTTTCTGAGTTCACAGGTGAACAACACACAGGC